TTTACATTATATAATTTGAATTTATCTGATTCATACCTATATCTGTAGAATATTAATTATCGAAATATATAGATTGGATATTAAAAAAGATGTTTGTGTTTAGATATACATATTATTAATAACAATAAATCTGAGAGCAGGTTTTAAGCTAAAGGCAATTAAAAATGCGTTCTTGAACATCTAATACAAATTGTTATTAAATCAAAAGCTATCAGGCATTACTTATTTAATCGTTTTTCATTATTAGACATTTCACGCGAAAATGTGTAAAATTGAGATTGTAAATTGGTTCGGGATGAAGATAGTAGATATGAAACATGCAACGACAGTCGCTTGAACCAACCGCAATATTAGTATTGGTTTTTTGAACTCAGTTAATACATTGTATATTATATACAATTTAATATTATTGTTATAAATATATTTAAATTATTTAATAATAAAAAATTAAAATTTAATAAACCCTAAGGTCAATATATCTCAAGAACAGATTTTAAAATTTCCAATGTATTAAATTTATTTTTAAAGTCCGTTTTGTTGAAAAAAAATAAATTCTTAATATAAACAATTGTTTTCAATAGAGAGGTTTTTACCAAACAGTAGAGAATTTGCAACAACAAAAATTTTTTATTATTTTAATTAATCAAATTTTGGCTGTGAGACTGTGACCATATAGCTTCCCATTATACTTTATCAGAAAATCAATTACTTATTCTGATGAAGCGTATTTTACATTTCATAATCAAAATGCAATTTGTTTCAGTTTTATATATATGTGAAGATAAAACTCTTACTACGTCATATGTACTTCAACAAAAACCTATAAGATACCGTTCGTAATGAAATGTATCTAATTTAATTAAATTAATCAAATAAGATTAATCTTATTGTGGAATGATATATTAAAAGTCATAGATAAGGCTAATGTCTTTTCCTCAAGGCGAATTTTTTGAGATTAAATCATTTTATCTCTTTATTTTTGAACTAGAAATAGTTAAAAGATACAATAGAACACAGTACTGTTTAAATAAACACTAATAAATTAAAAAAGTTAATGCACTCAGAAAAATTTCCATTCGAATTAGGAGTACAAATAGCTTATAACCTAAGATTTTGATAGAAGTAACTAATACTCTTCTATCAAATACCAATTTAATAGCATTTCGCGAGATAAGAAGTATTTTTATAAATATAGTGTAATATCTCATTTCATATAAATATTAGATATAAAAATATATAATATTTGCTTATAGATCTATATTTTATAACTAAATTTGGTCATTACAATCAATGGCATAAAAAATAAAATATTTTTATGTTTTTTTTTAAAGAATGCGTATAAAACAAAGAGAATATGAATACAATATATAACAAATGATATGCAATATAAAATCCGATATATATAAGGTCATTTTTAAACGGGATTATGATGACTTTATAAGCCGGGTAAATAAATGTGTATAGTGTAATAATTTTAATAAATTTATAATTTAAGTGTATACTATATTATACATTCAGTATGAAAAATATCTTTACAAATAGAAACAAGTTTATAACACTAGTCTTTGAATGTAAGTACCATAGAGTATTTGAAACATGAGTAACAAGTAATTTGAAGTATCTTGTAACTTCATAAGTTGAAAGAAAAGTTTAAAGATAGAGAACAATTGCTTAGGAAAAATAAAAAATGAGTTTAGAGTAATAGTTGTAGTTAATCTTCAACCGAACTTTAGGGTCATTATCACGTGTCTTAACATACGTTGATGTTATCAGTGTAGTAATCAGACCACTGAAATTAAGAACCTAGAACCACAGGTTTTATCAACTGGTGCTCTAGTTTTGAATAAACGAATTCCTTAGAAATGGTAATTTATTTAAATGGTAATTTATAGGTGTTTTATTTATAAAAAGAAATATATAATTTTTTAGTTTTGTATAAATGTATTACACTAAACATTTGCAGAACATATAGTATATGTTTGAAAAATTTATATTTTTCGAAGCATTTTAATTCAAAAATATTTGTTTGTTTTAAAAATGAACTTAAGGTGATATAATTATACACGCATTTTTAATCGCATTGTACGTGCAATTTACACTAAAAAGTACCGCAAAATTGCAGTAAACTTATCCTTACACACGAATATCAATAGAAACATGTGCGAAACGAATCATGTTTAACGCATTTTAGGTCTTAATTACCTAGTTTTTCTCTATTAATCAATTAATACCTTTGCATTTAACTATCAAAATATAAATAAATGAAATATTTTCAATAATAACAAATATTCTAAGTACATGTGTTTGGTATATAATAATTTTAATTTATAATATAATATAAATATATAATTTTTTAATTTATAATAAATATAAATATATATAAATAAATATATATAATTAAATAAATATAATTAAATAAATACAAGTATATATAATTAAATAAATATAGATCTTGATAAAGTTTCATATACAATCATATACAATATTATATATATTATGTATATAGAGAAGTTTCGAAAAATAGTAAACTATAACAAAAATTCTTTTTTTTATTATTTTAATTAATTGAATTTTTGGCTGACCATACACTGTCTCGAGTATTGCCAAATACCCATCATCAGTGGTGTTGAAATTATTTCTTGTAGTTTACAACTTTTCGAAGCCTCTGTATTATATACATTAGTTTCCATTAAGTAAAATAGTCACAAATTTAATATTATGTATATATATAAATAAAAACGCTCGAATATTATAATATACGAAAACTCAGCTTTATATGTATCAATATCAACTTTTGATTTCTTGCCATATTATTTGGTTGCACTCTCAATCAGTGTTAATATCATCCATAAGGTTTACATTGTTTTCTGTATTTAAGAGCGTAAAAAAGCGTAAAAAAGATAAGTAACATCTGACAATGTGTTTCTATCTTAATTCATTTTTTTTTCTCTTCTCTTTTTCTCTTCACGGCTCAGTTAGACGGTAGGTAACGTAAGAAATTAATTCGAAACGAAATGTACAATCAACCAAACTTGTGTGTTTGATAGGAACGAAATAAACAAAGTACACCCTTTTTGTTTATTATTTATATATACATATTGGTTCGAATTAATTTCTTACGTTACCTACCGTCTAACTAAGCCTTTATTCGGTTATAATAACAAACGTAAAGCTAGTACTAGTATTGTCTTATTGTAATAAATTAAGTAAACCCTAATTCTCAAAATAGCTTTTCAAGTTGGTTATTTTGAGTTAATGTAATTAATAAAACGTGTAATCTTTTTCACATTCTATGTATAGATAAACTAGGCAATATAAAATTCAAATGTAATCTTGCGGTGAACTCTTATTTCAGAAAGCACACTCAAGTTAAGTGTATTATGGCCTTTTTTAACACTCAACTATTGATAGTTTTGTAAATACTTATATGGAATTATAATTATAAAATATATAGCAATATTGGAAATATTATATGGGTTATTTTTCGAATTTGAAATAATTGTTTTTTCATCTTTTATTATATCAAATGATTGCTAAGTAACCTAGTAACCTTCGAGTGTTTGTTATTGGCACTAAATTGTCACCTAAAATTTAACTACTAGTCTTGTTTTCATATAACGATTGGTAACGACAGTTTTACCCTCTTTCTTGTAATGAATATGCATGTTATGCATAGAGTTAAATCACAACTGCCAATTTTATACTGTTTTTATTGTTTTGATCATTTTTGCTTGTATCTAAATTTAAAAGATAATAAATTAATAAAAATAAATAAATATAAATACATATATATAAATAAATATATATAAATAAATATATATAAGTAAATATATATAAATAAATATATATAAATAAATATATATAAATAAATATATATAAATAAATATATATAAATAAATATATATAAATAAATATATATAATTTTGTATGAAATTACAAAAACCACTACCTTACATGCAAAATACATTTTATATTTTCGTTTTTAAAAATATATGAGTCATATATCTTTTTCAAAAATAAAAATTATTCCTGATTTTTATATTTTTAAGGTATTTTTGCGTTTTAGAATAAAAAGCAGAATATAAGAGTTATTTGGTGGAAAAATGTGTGGAAAGATAAAAGCCACATGATAATAAATATTTTTGAAAAATATAATATAAAACAAATGTAATTATTATTTTTTGATTTATATTTTAAAACGCTAATATATAAAATGATAATTATATACTTAAATATTAGTTAACACAACTGTTTGTTGCTGGTTTTTTTCTTAAAAATCTTTAAAATAACTGTTTTTTTCGTTCCCTGCTAATAATTCATAACCAAATATATATTGACTATAATATTGAAGAAACGTCTAATAAAAAAACGATAGTAATGAGAATATATAATTTTTGTATTAGAATTAAGGATCCAATAAGAAAATAATACTAAAATGTTTGTTTAACAACTAAGAGGTCAATTAGTTTTTTGATTAATTACAATATATATAACTCTAACAGTATTTTTAGTTTTTTTTCGAAAAGCTTTAATATACACATATATCATTAAAAATATATCATCAGTTAATAACACATATTTATATATATTTCAATGTTTCTATCACATAATGTCAATGCTAATTGTAGTAATCGATTTTTAATTAAAA